GTCCCCACCAGGATTTCAGCACTTCCTCTTTGTTACGTTCCCCTTGATCCTGCCCTACCAGGTCTTCCACACCCACCTCCCCACCAATTTGGATCGCTTGTTGTTCCCTTGAAGACTGTCACTCTTTACATATCTTTCTCCCACTTCCCACCCTAAGTAACCCCTCAGAGACCCTGGAGCAGTTTCCAGCAGCTGTCCGGTCGCTTCTGATCCGTGGCAGCCCCACCCCTACCCCCACCCCGTGTGGCTAAGCAGAGCTGGGTGTTCTGGGGTTGGTTTGTCCAGAAGGCGGTCGCCAGGGCTTTCTTCAAAGTGCCCCTGGCTAGTGTCGCCCCTCCGGCCTCTCTGTGCACCACGGAGTCACCAGGAGTACCGCTGGGGCCTCCTCCCGCAGAGTGAGCATTTGTTTCTCACTTACCTGAGGGCCAGTCGCAGCAGGTGTGGAGGGCCTGCAGCTGACCAGACACCAGGGACCTGCAGTGAGCAGTGGAGACCCCTGTGCCAGGGCTGCCCCCGGGCCATCCCCTCCCTCGAGCAGGGTTCTGACCACAGGCCTCTCTCCCACAGTCCTGTACCTGGAAGGTTCTGTCCTTGTGTTTGAGGACGTCTTCAGACTGATCTCCTTCTACTGCGTCAGCAGGTGAGTGGACCCCTGCCCCCTTGCTGAGGGTCACGGAACAGGAGGACCTCTGGTGCCAGAGGATGCCCTCCACCAACTTAGAGGGTGGCTGGGGAAGCCCCTAGGGGGCAGGAGCAGCCTAAAGGAGGCAGAGGCCTGGCTCTGTGCTGGCAGCAGCGAGGCGAGCTGTTGGCGCGATTGCCTCCCAGTGGGTGAGGACCCCTCCTTGGCTTGTTGCCCCCCAGCTCCAACTTCCTCTGTGGACCTATCATGGGCAGCTGGAGGCCTGTGTGCACCGGCCCAAGCCTGGCAGCAGGATGGAGCAGCTTCCTGCTGGGGCAGCAGGCGGGGTGGGGGGAGGTAGGAGGTTGTACCCCACGCCCCGCCCCGCCCCAGTGGGTGGGAGCTTGAAGCCTGAGCAGCTGCTGGGTGGAGTGGGTGTCAGAACTACCCATAGTACCTGCTTTATCAATTCGGAACTGGTTTCAGGACAACAGGAACTTAAACCAACCAGTAACGTCACTGGCCCAAGTCTTGAACGACAGTGTCTTGGCCGGGGCTGGCTGCAGGCTGGGCGGGAGAGCTCGGTGGGGTCCAGGGCTTCAGGTCCACTTCTCCCTGCTCCTGGGGTGAACACCCCGGCCCACCTGCCAGGATCCTTCTGTGCTAGTACACAGGGGTGGTGATGAGGATCGCGACAGGTAGTGGGATCACAGGGCCCTGCCCTGTGCTCGGGGCTTCCACACACACCCCTCATCCTTATAGATCTTTGGAACAGTGCCACCAGGTGAGTGCTCCGTCTCCTCCTTTCACAGAGGAGGACATTCCAGACCCAGATAAGTCACTTGCCCCAGGTCGCTCGTGCGGTAAGTGAACGGCAGAGGCGAGAATCGAACTAGACGCACCTGCCAGCTCCCCGCACCTCGTGGGATCAGTCCCACTCTGCCCAGGAGCCACTCACCTAGCAAGTCAGTTGCCATCAGGTCAATGCAGAGTCTTAGTGCCTTTCTGGGCCAGAGCAGACCAGCCCCACGGGGCTCCCAAGGCTGTACAGCTTAATAGCTGTAGCCTGTCTGCCCCCTTCCCCCTGCACTTATGGTTTCCTCCGTGGTTAGCTGCCCAGTGCTTGACCACTATGCCCACAGGGCTTTCCCAGTGTTACACGGGTGACCTGAAGCATCACGCGCCCATGGGCAAGCAAGCAGGAGCCCAGGCCCTGTGTGCTCCGTGGCTCGCTCAGCTCTCAGGAGATGGACTCCTGCCTGCTCTAAGAGCTTCTCACCTTCCTGGAAGGCAGGGTTCTCACCCTCCCGGGAGGTGCACATACCGTTGGCACCTGCGCCCAGTGTGGAGCGAATGACCGCCCAGTGTGTGAGCGAATGACCACAGGATTGCAGACCTCAGAACGAGAGGCAGTCACTTCCTCTCTCTGGGTCTCAACGTCCTCACCTGTAAAATGGGGCGATGAGACCGAGCATGTAGATGCTGCAGAGAACGGGACCCTGCCGGGCACCCAGTAGGTGGCTCTGGTTCTGTTCCCACAGCCTGCACACACTTGGGCACCACCGAGCCACAGTCACCCCAGACCCCTGCTGCCAGCTCCTTGACAGTCCAGATCAGCGAGGGCTCGGGGAGACGGGCCGTGTCTAATCCCTGCCTTGTGGCAATCGACCTTAGGCTGGTGAGGCGGTGTGATCTCCCCCTGCTTCGTGCAGGCCCAGGAGATCAGGGGTGGCCCCTGTCATTGCCTCACGGCCCAACCCATACCAGGGCTGCCTCGGGAGATGATAAGCGGGCTGGCACAGTCAGGTAAGCAGCAGGCTGCCAACCACAGGGTCGGTGGTTCAGACCCACTGGCTGCCCTGTGGGAGAAAGATGAGGCTATCTGGCCCCTGGTAGCGTAGTGGTTTACGCACTGGGCTGCTAACCTCAAGGTTGACCCATCAAACCACCAGCCGCTCCTCGCGAGAAAAGCGAGGCTTTCTACTCCAGTAAAGCGTTACAGTCTCGGAAACCCACGGGGACCATGGGGGTCCTCGGGGTCACTGTGAGTCAGCATCGACTAGAATGAACTCGGGCGTGTGGTGGCTTATGGCCTGACCTGATCACCAGCAATGTTAACAGGTCAAGTCCACCAGCTGCTCCAGGGGGGAAAGATGAGGCTGGCTGCAGACTTAGAAAGCCTGGGGAGTCCTTCTCCTCCACGCTAGATGGTCGCTATGAGTGGGAACTGACTCCCTGGGGGTGGGTTTGAACGATTAGAATCCACTAGCTGGCAGTGGCGTGGTTTCCGTGCTGTTACAGGGAGGGGTCTCCCAGCTAAGCCCTGCTTAGCTTCCAAGCGCAGATGAGGTTGTAGAAACCAGGTGAAAACGGCAGCCTCTGGTCACACAGCCCAGTCCTGAGCCGGTTGAGTCCGAGGATGGTTTGCTCTGCGCCTGCCCACTCCAGCCCTCTGGCCCTGCGGGGGCGAGTCAAAGCCCCCTTTGTGGAAGAGGCAGCCTTGAGCCAGGACAGACTTCTAGCCAAAGAAGAACAGGGAAGTGGAAACACTCTGGCAGCCTCAGACCGGTTTCCCAGGGAGTCTGGACACCTGGGGGGAGGCACCCTGCTCTAGAGCCTCGAATGCAAGGAGTCACTGGGACTTCCTCCTACTGGGGCCAGCCGCCCTTCAGCGGAAAGACAGGGTTGCGTGAGGAGGTGGACGGAAGTAAGGGGAGGGGGTGGTTCGCCAGGGGCCCAGCAGCCATGCAGGCCGTGGGGGGGAAGGGGGGGGCCTCCCTAGGCAAAGGCTTGAGATGGGATGGCCACTGTACCAGGGGGTGGTGGAGGCAGGGGGTGGGCTGCAGGTGTGCACGTTTCTATCATGGAGGCCAGCAGCAAGAGGATGCCACTAAGCAGAATGAGGAAGGAAGGGGAGGAACCCCCCTGCCCCTCCTTCCCCCACCATGCTGGGACCCACCTTCCTCGAGGTGGGGGCAGCGTGCAGGGCTGGTCAGAAGGTCCTCCTGGCCTTTGAAACCCCAGCAAATCCATAGCATTCAAGGTGATTGTGACCAGTGGAGACTGACCCCTGTTTCAGGGAGAACCGTGCTCCACGGGGGTTTCAGCAGCTGGGGGTGAGGGGGGTCCTTTTTTTTTTTTTTTTTTTTTTGAGCTAGACAGCCTGGCCATTCTTCCTAGGCACCTCTGGGTCACTTGAAGCGCCAAACTTTCCCTTAGCTTCCGAGCATGTTCACTGTTGCCCAGAGAAGGAAATAGTTATCGATGCCCTGGGCGCTGCCTAGTCTCAGCTGCCAAACACCATCCTGCCGCCATGGGCTGGGGCAGAGCCCACCACCCAGAGGCACCCCACACACACACACCGAGAGAAGTCCCCCCGCTGTCTTAGTGGGAGGCACGAGATGCCGCTCGCATTTCTGTGGTGCAGCTCCCCCAGGATGGGGTCTGGCAGCAGTGGGGCCACCTGGCATCCAAACTTCAGAAACGACCCATCTAGAAGTGCCCCGGTCCTGGGGCTGCACTCCGGGTCCCGGTGCCCCCTGCTCCGCGTGCCCTTCCATACTTTTCCACGGCCCACAGCTCCTGGTTAAAAACAACAGTCGAACACCTAACCTTGAAAACAACTTTGCTTGTGATCCCGGCGAAGGTCTTGCCCTCAATTGACCCAGCGCTTGCATTAGTCTGAAATTTAAAATATTCCGCTGGGTGGTCTCTAAGGGAAACCCTTTGCCTCTCAGGGCCTCGGGATCATTAGCTGAGCCCAGAGGCACCAAGGCCTCCCAGGGCCTGGCGGAGCCTGTTGAAGAAGCTTGACTGCTGACCGCAAGGTGGGCAGTCGAGGCCCCGGCCACAGTATGGAGGAAGATGTGGCCGTCTGCTTCTATACAGAGCGACGGCCAGGAAACCCCGTGGAAGCAGTCCTGCTACCCTGCGGCCGCTGACAGCCTCCTCTCTGCCCCATCCCGCCACGATGGGACAGCAGGGATCCGCTGGGTGTCTGCGCCCGCTTTGCGGTGGAGCTCCTGGGGTGGCAGCGGGCACAAGCCTCTGCCCATTGGCTCCCTGTGCCCCATTCCAGAGTCACAGGGCTGCAGGGAGGCTCTGCGGAGGACTCTGCGGGTTTAGGGGGTGGGGGCTGGAGGGCTGGACACCGTGCCCTCTCTCTAGGAATGACCTCCAACCCCTCCTGTCTCCACAGAGACTTACTGCCCTTCACGCTGAGGCTCCCCCAGGCCATCCTGGAGGCTCAAAGCTTCACAGACCTGGAGACCATCTCCAACCTGGGCCTGGGTAAGTCCTCTCGGGGGCCTAGGGTGGCCGAGATGGGGGCAGCTCCGAAGGTTAAGACACGGCAGGGCCTTGAGTCCAGGCTCCCAGGGGCCGCCCACACTGAGCAACTGCCCAGGGAGATGCTCCTGGCCTCCCGTGGTGCCTCTCACCAGATGCCAGGGGTCCGCTACACAGCCCTGTGTGGTCTGAGGCTGGGGCCAATGCAGGGGCTGCGTGGGCTGTGGTCTGGAAGAATCTGAGTCTGATACCCAGGCTGCTCTTCACGTCGGTTGGTCTCCCCGGCTCCTCGCACCACTGCAGTAGAGACACCGACAGTGGGGGGCAGGGGGGCGGGGGACCTCCAAGACAAGTGCTACTGGTCATGCAGTTCAGGAGGCTCCAGGACACCCTTCCTGGGTGTGTCGCTTCTGTTCTGCTCAGTGTGTGAGCCAGAAGCGATGAGGGCTAGGACCCACCTGCTCTGCTGTGACCACAGGAACTAGGTACTGCAGGACCACATGCATGGATCCAGGCCAAGCCTTCAATTCACATGGGGGCGGGGGGCACAATTCAATCCACCGCAGTTGGGGACCCAGTAGCCCCCACAGTCTCAGCCTCCCTGTCCCCCACCCTTGACACAAGCAAAGGTCATGAGCTGGCTTGCGTCCTCTGTCCTTGCCTGCTCCTGCCCACCCAATTGACCTTCTTAACCCCCACCCCCCACTGCTCCCTTGACCTTTTGAAGGGTGAACAGGACAGAGGAGGAGACTGGAGGAAGGGGTCTGGGTGGGAGTTGGGGGTGGGCAGAGTGTTTCTCCCGGTCATGACCTGACAGGAAGCAGCTCACGTCTGTGGAGTGAGTCTCTTGTATTGGGCTTTAGGGCCCTTGCTCAGCATGGACTCGCTCAGAGCTGACCTGTGACTGGGATGTCCTCAAGCCGGCCCAGCTCTCTAGCTCTGTGGTGGGGACCTGCTCACGTAGACCTATGGGTGACCAGGTCACCACCTCCGTAGCTGCTGGGACCCCTCACACTGGCCTCTGTGATGCCCAGCTTATCACCTCTGTGGTGGGCACCCCCTCCTGCTGATCTGTGGACACCCAGGTTTCCACCTCTGGGTTGCTCAGAAGGCAGGCCAGCCAGCTTGTGTCAGGTGAGATCGAATCAAGGTTATATTTTAGGTCCTGTGGGCTTATTTTAATTTTCTTCAGCTTCAACCTGGCTTAAGTAGACGCAATTGATGGTCTCTTCCACAGTTGGCCCCTGGCCTGGTTCTAGCGACTGATACTGGGCTTCTCCAGCATCTCGTCCCACGTACATAGTCAATTTTATTTCTGTGCATCCCATCTGGGGAAGTCCATGTGTATAGTTGTCATTTGTGTGGGGGGAAGGTGCTTGTTTTGTTATGAAGACTTTGTGGCCTGATTAACTAAAACTCACCGCCATTGAGTCATCCTCTAAGACGGAGTTGAGCTTCTCCTTTGGATTTCTGAGCTGTGGAGGCCTTACATCTTTAGGGGAATAGACAGTCTGTTCATTCTTCCCTAGAGCAACTAGTGCATTTGAACTGCTGACCTGGCATTAGCTGGTCAATTTACAGCCCACTAAGAGGTCAGTTCATAGCCCACTACAACTCCAAGGACTCCTTAACCTGATCCAAAAATCTCAAACTCCCTACCATCCAGTCAATTCCAATTCATCAGGACTGTAGGACGGAGTAGAACTGCCCCTGTGGTGGGTTTCTGAGACTGTAACTCTTTACAGGAGTAGAAAGCCCCCTCTTTCTCCTGCAGAGAGACTGACGGTTTCAAACCGCTGACCTTGTGGTTAGCAGCCCAACAGGAACCATTATGCCACCAAGGCTCCTGCTAGAGCAGCGGTTCTCAACCTGTGGGTCTCAACCACCTTTGGGGGCCGAACAAGCCTTTCACAGGGGTCGCCCGATTCATCAGAGTAGCAAGATGGCAGCGATGAAGTAGCAACGGAAATAATTTTATGGTTGGGGGGTCACCACCACATCAGGAACTATGTTAAAGGGTCGCAGCATTAGGAAGGCTGAGAACCACTGTGCTAGGGAGATTGAATTCCAGAATCACTGGTTCTTGACGTGGGGAAAACCTTTGCTTCACATCTGGTACGGGATCTTCTTCGTTGCCGTCAAGCCAAAGCTGACTCACAGCAACCCCGTGTAGGTTTCCGATGCCTGACAGTGATCTTAGATCACTATGTTAAAGAGAGGACGGGAGAGGGGCAGGAGCTGTAGTAATAATTCTCCCATCCAGTTTTCACGTCTTGGACAGAGAGGCATGCGACGTTAGCATCGATCTGTAAGACCAAAAAAGGTATTCGTTATGAACAAGGCGCTGATCTTGCAAAATTCTATTATGCAACCTCCTGCTTCGTTTCTATCAATAAGACTGTATTTTCCAGCTACTGTCCCTTCTGCTTTGTTTCCAGCCTCTACTTTCCAATCACCAATAATTATCCCTCCATTGTGACTGCATGTTAGATCAACTTCCGACTGAAGTCACTGGTAGAATTCTTCAATTACTTCTTCATCACTGGCTTCTGTGGAGTGTGCACGCATCTGAATGGTGTTTGTGTTGGTTGGATTTCCTTGCTGGGGGGATCAGTATCATCCTGGCACTGTACTTCCAGACAGATCTTGGTGTCCTTTTCGGCCATGAATACACCACCGTTCCTCGTGCTGATGTCATCCCCAGCACAGTCAACCATGGGATTTTCGGCTTCACAATGGCCAGTCCCAGCCCATGTCAGCTCACTAACGCCTGGCATAGCCATCTTTGCTTTCGGTTCTTGTCTTACAGCTTCTCATTTTCCTAGATTCATACTTGGTACATTCTAAGTTCCAGTGACTAGTCGATTCTTGCAACTGTCTTCTCTCATTTTGGGTGGTCCCCCATCAGCAAATGGAGACCCCGAAGGCCTTACTGCCACGGGCTTGACTCCATTCCCATCCCCATCCACTGTGAGAAAGCAGCGAGGCTCTGTCACATTCCGAGTGCATTCGAATCTGAGGGGCCCATCCTCCATTGCTATCTGTGACAATGCCCTGCTTCCGTGCCTTAGGGCAGCGGTTCTCAACCTGTGGGTCTCGACCCCTTTGGGGGTCGAATGACCCTTTCACAGGGGTCTCCTAAGACCATCAGAAAACACATGAATATTTCACAATAGATAATTACATACTGTTTTGTGATGAATCACTATGCTTTCATTATGTTTAATGATTGTCAATTTGTAACCATGAAAATATATCCTGCCTATCAGATATTTACATGATGATTCATAACAGTAGCAAATGACAGTGATGAAGTAGCAACGAAAATAATGTTATGGCCGGGGTCACCCCAACATGAGGAACTGTCTGAAAGGGTGGCGGCATGAGGAAGGTGGAGACCCACTGGTCTAGGGCCTCCGTATCTGACAACATTCTGATGCTCGGCGTGAAGGTTTCAGCAGCTACTTCCTCTGAAGTGGGCGGCCGGCTCCTCCGTCATAGTCTGTTCTTAGTCTGGCAGACCACGGTACTTTCAATATTCTTCGCCAACGCCATATTCAAATGCATCCATTTGTCTCACTGAGAAAAAGTGGGTAGAGCATGGGAAGGATCCATGAACTTCACAGGAGCTGCTGCTCTGCCAGGGAGATGCCCGGAGGGGGGCCGTGGGCATGCAGGCTCAGCACAGAGTCACTGTCCACGTTGGCTAATGGGCTGAGGAGCCAGGTGTCCCAAGTACAGGCTGGCTGCGGTGTGATCTTGGACTTCAAGCGTTTATAGGTTTGTCAGGGCCCTAGTAGCAACAAGCAGGAGAACCAAGCACTAAGCTGTAGGCCAAGAAATCCCAAACTCCCTGCCGTTGGTTGGAGTGAGACTCAGAGTGGCTCTGTAGGACAGGGTAGCACTGCCCTTTGGGGCTCCAGGATTGTTCTCTTCACGGGAGTAGACAGCCTCATCTTTCTCGGGCAGAGCAGCTGGTGGTTTCGAACTGCTAATTTTACAGTGAGCAGCCCAACGCATAACCAATCTGCCCCCAGGGCTCTCTAAGCCACAGGCTGTGGACGTGAAGTACGCACGGAGTCTGGAAAAGGGATGCCTTCGCTGCGTTCCTCCAGCATGCCTGCCTGCGGTGCCTGTTGTTCTGCATTGTGTACGTCGGGAAGAAGATGTATGTTCTCTTACTTTTCCAAGTTTGGGTGTCACGTGCCTGGGTCCTTGTGGTATCGAAGGAGAGCCTCCTTAAAAACAACAGACTCACTACCAGCCAATCGATTCCAACTCCTAGTGGCACCCTCAGACCGGGTCGGACCACCCTGTGGGTTTCTGAGACTGCCCCTCTTTAGGAGAGCGGGACCGCAGAGCAGCTGACCATTAGAAGGCATTGAAAACCTGGATTTCAGCATCCCATCTTTGGGAGTCCGCCCCGAGATGATTCTCCACTACACTTGCTGGACGGGCCAGCTGTTTCTGCAGCTTCGGTAACCTTCTGCTGCATGTCCTTGTTTTGTCTGTCCTGATGCTAACTCCCAAGGGTGGAGTCTTAGCCACCTTTGTTCTCAGGGCCAGTACCTGGCCCAGCCCAGGACCACAAAAGAAGGTAGGAATGGACGCCTGGCAGGAGGCTCCAGCGGCTACAAGGCCAGCAACCTGCGTACCTGAGGCAGAGAGCAGCACGGAGGTGGGAGCAGGGGCTGACCACACGGGGAAGTGCCCATAGCTCTACCAACCACTAGGATGGCATGGACCAGAGTTCCACTTCTCCCCTGCCCTGGGCATTCTGCAAAAAGGTGACTTCCTGTTTTCAGTCCACCCCACCACAGTGGTTCCTACCAGGCCCATGGACGCTGAGATGCAGCCCCAGGGCCCGGCTTCTGCACCCCTCCCTCCAAGTGGTACCCGATTTGAGGCCAGTGGCCTGCAGGGGCACAGCTCTCAGCCCCGGATCAAGGGGAGGGAAGCAGGCCCCAGGGGCACCCCTTCTCTGAGCCCCACTGCTGCTGGTTCCACTGCTGCTGGTTCCACTGCTCCGGACTCTGGCCCAGGGCCCATGCTATGAGCTAAGGGTGCGCCCTGAGGCTCCTGGGCCCCAAACACCCTCTGAGCTGCCATCCACCCTCCGCTGGGGAGCATGAGTGTGGCCTCTGCAGCCTTGGAGACAGGCTGGGGAACTGGGCAGAGACAGAGAATGAGGGGCACCATGCTGGGGGAGCTCAGTGGCATTGGAGGGGGTCTACTTAACAAGGGGACATTAGAGACAAGTTTTGAAGGAGGAGTAATACTGTCAGGCAGGGAAGGTGGTGAAGGCCTGCGGACGGAGCACGGAGGCCAGGCAGCTGGCGTGTGCGGGATGACAGGGTGAGGTAAGGACCAGCAGGTGTCGCTTTAGAAGTTCCACGGGGGGCAGCTCCCCCAGGGCATGGCCTGGGTGGCCCCCCTAGTGTTGGAGGTGGTTCCACATAGGTGCTCCAGGGCCCGCTCTCTGCCCGTGCCGTGTGTCGAGGAAGATGGGCAGGGTCTGAAGGCCTGGTCTGTTGTTGGTGTGAGCTGCCATCAGTCGGCTCCGACCCATAGCAACCTCGTGCACCACGGAAGGAAACACGCCCAGCGCTGCCCCATCCCCACAAGGGTTCTTCTGTTGGAGCCCAAGGTTGTAGCAGCCACGATGTCAACCATCTCATCACAGGCCTTCCTCTTTGTCGCTGCCCCTCTACTTTACCAAGTGTGATGTCCTTCTCCTAGCACCGGTCTCTCCTGACAATATGTCCTGAGGATACGAGACAAAGTCTCCTCATCCTTGCCTCTAATGACAGGTCGCGTTGTCCTTGTAGCAGTCTGCAGTGTTTTCCATACTCTTCTCCAGCACAACCCAGTGCATCGATTATCCTTGGGCCTGGTCTAAGGCAGTCATGAGAGGGGCCAGACATGGGCAGTGTGTCAGTCTGGGTTGACTAGAGAAACAAATCCAGAGAGACTCATTTATTTGTGCATAAGAAATGTTTATATACAAGAGTAATGGAATCTTGAGAAAACATCCCAGGCCAGTCCAGATCAAGTCCATAAGTCCAATATTAGCCCATATGTCTGACACCAATCTGTAAAGTCCTCTTCAGACTCACGCAACGCATGCAATGATGCCGAATGCAGGATGATCACAGGCCAGTGGATGGATGCCTTGTGGATCCAATTGCGTTGTGAGCATCTCAGCGCTGGCAGAGGTCTCCACGTGGCTTCTCCAGCACCCAGGGCAGCATCGGAGTAGGTCCATGTGGCTTCTCCTCAGGGACATCTCGCAGGGAGTGATCCTTGTCAGTACAGCGTCTCCAAGGGAGTGAGCAGAGATGGAGAAAGTGTCTCCCGCCTCCAAGGAGGAAATACCAGAGTTATCCCAGAATCCTCTGGGGAAGACCATGCCCACACAGGGACCTCATTGGTGATATCTTGAGTGACAGGCCAGACTTCATCCCTTTCACTCGTAATCCTCTCAAATTGACGCCAGGTTATGTAACCACCCCAGGCAGTGGTGACCATGATCTCCAAACAAACAAGCCAGTTCCCTTCAAGTTCAGGCCAACGCATGGTGGCCCGTGTAGGTCTGGGTAGAGCTGACCTCCGAGAGTTCTCAGCGGCAGACTTTTTGGGAGAGGATGAAAAGGCCCTCCTTCGGAAGCACCTCTGGGCAGACTTGAACCTCCAGCCTTCGCGTTAGCGGTCCACACCCTCTCCCCCACCCCCACCCCGAGGGATCTAGGCGAACAAGAATGCTCGGGCCCAGGTGCATTCTGTCCGTCATCTGCCTCTGTTCTCTCTGGGAAGGTGGAGGGGAGGATGGGGGACCTCAGCTCTCCTGTGGGGTTGCTGCCCAGTTCACCCCTGAGTCTGCCCACCGGCCGCTTTTCCTGGCTAGGAAAGCGTCCAGGCATAGTATGAATCGTGTTGGGCTGGGTGCTTCTGCTCAGTCCCCGGGGCCACTGTGTCTGTGTGCTCAAGAACTCCAAGGGAGGGACCTTGGTGGGGGTGGGGGGCATGCCCAGGAAAGTAGGTAGTTGGAAGACAGCTGGAGACTCTGCTGCACTGCAGTGTGCCGGGAGGCTCTCCCAGTGGAGAGGGTCACCCCAACACGTGTTGTCATCCTCATCCCTGCGGTGACAACAGGCCTCTCTATTGACCACCACACCCGGGCTGCAAGACACAGGTTCTCTGTCTGCCCCATGACAGCCCACCTGGACGGAGGCACCCAGCTGGGAGGT